TTGATACAGGGACGTGCTGTTTATGCCTTATTTCTCTCTGTTTTTTTTTTTTTTCGCTAGAAGAGAAGGGAAGAGACTCAGGTTTTTTGGTTGGAATACTGGAATTGATCAACCATATATTGGAGAGAGAGAGAAAAGAAAGACTGCAGAATGAAGCGGTGCGTTGTTTTTTCAGTTTTAATAAAATAATTAATAATAAAATGTTTCGGGTGTAACCAAACTAAGAATAAATAATAAATATTCTTTTCTTTCTTCGCTAAAAGTTTTCCTAGCTGTGGCTGGTTGGCTTTTGGCGGCCCCGCTCATTTCGGTGGCACACTGCACAGTGATCATTCTTCGAATCTTCAAAAACATTTTCCCCACCTGCCTACTTATTACTTATTGATATTTTAAAAAATATTTTTTATTTAAAAATATTTTTTTACAATATTTTTTATTTTTAATCTTAACACAATAAAAAATAAAAAAAAATTAATTTAATATTTTTTCAAATAAAACACATTTTTAAAACTCATTAAAAAACATAAAACTAGTTAAAATCTAAAAATCCTCAGGTAAGTTCCTCCAATTAATAAAATATTTTGAATATCCCATCAATTATTATTTTTATAATTTAAATTTAACAAATTATGAGTTTCCACGTCAATAATTAAATGAAGCTTTCATGTAAACTAGTGGTATTTGCCTCCATGTGTTAAAAGATTCTCATTCATGTAATAAAAATAGTTCTGGAGTTTCAGTTATATTTCACGTATAGATTGTTTGTTTGTTTTTTATATGTAATAAATTAGTTTTTACTCTATCATTTTGTCAGTTTTTTCTATCCAATATCAACAGGAACAACATATGATATACACATAATCAATTTCTTTCCTAAAATAGCTTGTAATAAAAATCGAGAATGTGCAAAACCTATCTGTTTAGGGATGTTACTTTAATGGGTAGTTGTGTCTTTTCAGACCTGTATAGAGCATGTTCAATTATACTAACGTTGCTTACACTACAAACATTAGTTTTACACTACTTTTTTTTTAAAAAAAAAAACTAGTATATTTTAAAAAAAAAACTAGCACATATCAGAAAATAAAGAGTTTAGTAAGAATGCTGTCCAAATGCGATATGTTGATTTAAAAAAGAGGAGAGAGAAAAAAAGAATTTTAAAGACTCATTAAAGCTTCAATAATAATATTCCTAGTATAATTAAAAATATATTAATAAATAAAATTCAATAACATTAAAATATACCATCAACAAAATTTAAAATGGCTACATGCGTTGTTCTTTGTCAAGTCTGTCATATATTATTTTCTAAGTAATGTGTGTGAACACTCATTTTATTATTGATAATATTTATTAATGTTATTATATTTTTCTTATTGAAATTTTTTTAATGATATCATAAATATCATTATTGAAGATTCAACATGCTTTCGGGTCTTTCTATTATTATTTTGTTCTCTTTCCTTCGTCATCTCTTCTGAAATTAAATTACAGAAAAACAACTTAGTTAATCCAACTCTTAGTTAATTTAATGTAACGTGTGGAAAAAGAAACGAGAGGAGAAATTTGCTACAGCAGTGAAGCTCTTGTCTTCGTCTTGGACGGTAATTAATTAATATCAATTTATAATCTCGCATCGAGTGCGAGAGAATTAAGAGAGCTAAGTACCAAAAAGAAAAAATAGGAAGAAGAAAACCTTTTTCTTTAAGAATAAATTATCATTGTATCTAAAAGCAAAATAACGATGAAAGAAGATGAACACATTAAAGGTGTTTATTTTTGCGATTGTTTTTTATTTTGAATCAAACTATAAAATACAAGTGCTCAGTAATTAAAAAAATATAATTTATTTAATGAGAGACTCCCTAATTTTTATGTTTTGAACACAGATCAGCAAATACTTTTCTCTGTTTTCATATAGTAACTATAATTTTTGTAAAAATAAATAATATATAATAAATTTAATTTATTTTTTATTGTTCAGTGTTGTAAAAATACACGGTGGAGAGTGAATATTCATTTTTCGCTATGTGAAGATAATGGAAAAGAGATGTTTTTCATTGTCCTACCTGGATCCGGTTTTTTTAAAAAAAAATTGGATTGGATTCGATAAAAAATCTATTTTTTTAATTATATTTTACTTGAAAAATTAATGTTTGATATTATTCAATGGTACTATATAAATTAGAAAAAGATCACATAATAACTTAGTATTTATAAAATTTAATCATATAAATTAAAAAAAGATCACATAATAACTTAATATTTATAAAATTTAATTGTAATTATAATTTTATTTCTAATAATATTTTACTTAATTTTATTGCACGTTCAAAAAATCATAAAAATTATAGTTCTTCTTAAATGAATTTCATATATAATAGAATTTTAGATAGATTAATAAAACAATAAAAAATATTTGATATAAAAATATTATTTATTTAATGATATAATAATAGTAGTTAAATCTCCTGTATTTAAATTAAAAATTATAAATATTAATATATATATATATATATACACAAACATATATTTTAGTTATTTTATAACATCAATTTTAAAAATATTTTTTATTAAATATATTAAATTATTTTTTATTTAATCTTAATTTTAATTACATTTTTAATCATATATATAAATATTAAATAAATTTTAATTAAAATTATTTTATATAAAATTATTTTTAAAAAAATTATAAGTATAAATACTATTGGGATACCGAACACACCTAATCTCGTAAGGTTGGAATTCTATCACTGTATGCAATGGCTGGCAAGAATAATCAAGGCTCAAAACACGGGCAATTCCAAGAACCACGTAATGAGAAGCTGAACTTAATATCATCACCCCCTACTCCAAACCTTGACGTCACTTGCCAATATATTAGTATATTAATCTGTATCCCGCAGCAAATCACTATTATTTTTTAAAAAAATATTTTCAATTTATTGAATCCAATAATTATATTAGACCTAAAAACCTAAAACCTAACATGATTTCTAGATTTAAGTAACTTGAGTATGATATATTTATTAAACCTGAAAAAATATCAAATAAATTGATAGTAATTATACATTTTTATTATTAAAAAAAATAAAAAAACAAATAATCAATTACAAGTTATTTATAATACATCTGCATATATCACAATATATATAAAAAATATATATGCATATATATCTAGAAGATGTTTAGCTAAATTTGACAATCAAGAAATATCTTATATGTCTCCTTCATAGTATAGCGCTATTAATTTTTTAAGATATATAAAATATGTATCAATAATTTTTTAAATAAAAAATAAAAAACAACATGAAATAGTAAGATATCTTTATGTTCGTCTTTATACATCATACCTAAATAAATTTAACCATCAATTTCTATAATAAAATATATTTAAAGTTACAGTAAAAACATCACACAAAGCTAGGGGGCTAACAAAGATTAAGTTACCCGTTGATGGAGTTTCTTTTTCGTATCCTACTGTAAATGCTTTCAATACACTCAATTATTTAGTATGATTGTTATTGTCATTGAAGTTGTTTTTTAAAAATGTTTTAAAATTATTTATTATTTGTTTTTTTTTATTTTAATATTAGTATATCAAAAAAATTTAATATCAATTTAATATCCCCAGCTGAAATTAGAGAAGGAGTTAAAGGATAGTCCCCACATTATATATACATTAACACATCAAATCAAGATGTTTTTGTTTTTTCTTACAATCACCATGTGATAAAGAAAGAGTTTAGCAACTCTTGACTCCAGGAAATAACAATGCAGGTCAGCGAAATTATACTTTAATTAATTTCCCTAGATCAATCTCCAATTTTAATTAAAAAAAACTCCAGTTTTAGAAGTATGAGGTGTCCAACTCCAGTTCTGAAAAAAAAGAAATACGAGCACCATTTACCTAAATTTTCAAATTTTTTTAGTTATTATTGTTCTTTATTTTCCTGTTTCCTAAGTTCATTGTGTGAAATTTTCGACCCTGCCCCAAATCAATCTAGGTTTACTTAGGAGAAAAAAAAAAGGCACGTTAAAAAATAATCTTGATTAAAAAATTCTAGTTATCAGGTGAAATTTAAAAAATAATTTAATATTATTTTTTAATATATTATTAAGTGGAAGGTTTTAAAGTTTTAAATTTTCAAGGCTTATTATTATGCTTAATCTTATTAAATAAAATAAAATAAAATAATAAGAATGGAGTTCATATCACTGGTTTATTATAATTAAAAATAATAATTTATTAAATGAAATTTAGAAAATAATTTTATATCACAATGATATTAAATTTTTAATATGTGAAAGTGGTATTGAATCTACCTATCCTTGTCCTCCACCAAAAGTATCGACAAAAGGAAGTGTAAAATGTAAGTTAACAGGTCCTTGGTCAAGGCTTCAACAGGGAGTATGCTGTTGACATCCTCCATTGAAAGCAATCGTTGTTTCAGCAGAAGATTCTGTTTCCACCATTAAAGCAATTCTGTTCCTCTAAAAAAAAAAGGAGGAACAGTTCTTTTAGGCTGGTTTTTCAGGAGCTATGTGTATACGTTGTTTTTCAGCGATGAAAGTAAACTCACTGATGTTACCCTTCAAATCTAAACAAAATCTCATTTTTCCTCGAGGATCCTCACAAGATTTGTTCTTTTTTTTTTTTTTCCATTACGGATTGGCCAGTAACTGTATTTTTGCCCCTGCTTTACTCTTTTATGGATACTTTAATGGTTTCACATCCCTCATGTCGTAAAAGCACTTTGCAAAAGCAATTCTGCTAGTTCTCTTTTGAGAGAACAGGACCATGTCCTTAAGAGGATGAACTTGTTTCTTTGGAACAAATAATTCATTTCCATTCCACAGAAATTAGTAAACGTGTTTTCTTGAAATAAATAAAACCCTGTTCCTATCTTCATCTCCCAAAATACTAAATGTATTTCTGGAGCAGCCAAAATATCAATGCCGAATAATTCCTTTTTTTCTTCTTCTTTTTTTTGGGGGGCTTGAACAAGCAAGATGCAACCCAACGTTTTTCTAATCACTAAATAATCAATTTCATGTTAACCAGGTTTCTTTTCTTAATAATGTTTTCTTCAGAAACAAAATCAATAATGACAATGATAATGCCTCAACACTCAAGCGCTAATCATGACATCTTTTTTCGTGTCCGGGGACAGTGATCTCGGAAGCAACAAGAATCACGTTCATGATCAAGTTTAGCCACGTATATAATACAAAGGAGTTCTCGGAATCCTATGTAAGGCTCCCATTAGCCATCACACCCTTCTTAATGTGCTAGATCCAAGCCGGGCTAGCAATTCTTCCCCAGGTAAGCATCTTGTCCCTAAGGAGAGCCAATACTGTTACTTCTGGTAAACAGATGTTGCTGTCTCAGTAGATGTTACTACATAGATGTTGCAACTTATATCTTACATATTTTGATGATAAGAATTACATGATAAATTAAGACCAAGCAGGAGATGTATCTTGGTTTCTTCTGTAAATTATGCAACTTTACATCGTGGAATTTTAATTGCTTAATCCACCTGCTTACCTGCAGTGAAGCTTTTTTGGCCCTTCGAATTGATATCCATACTGGGACGAAGGGTGTCACCCAACAAGCTGGAAGATTTGTGTACAGTTCGGTAACACTCTCGAACTAATATAGCGAAACATTATTATTTCAACTAATAATTTGACATGAGCAGATCATCAAGAAATTGGTATGGCCCACTGAAAAGAGAGCATTAAAGTTCTTGTATCTGCAAAAGAATAACGCAAACCAGCATCTGGTCAATCACGTTATGGATTCAATAGCAAATAGAAGGCGGGTTCTTGGCTTCTAGTGAACCTGAGTGAAAAAGAAGACACCATAACACAGATTTGTTTCCCAAGAAAAATGTCATATGCTGCAAGACCACATAAAATAGGAAGAACAGTTTTATCTTAGTATGTTGTGCTTTTCATATAACTATTTTTTTCCCGTTGACTCCATGGTCTACAGGATCATATGCAAGGGAAACACATGGTGTAATTATCAAGGAAAGCACTTTAGTTAAATCCCTAAAAGAGTGAAAATGGAAATGAAAAGGTGAAAGAGAAACAGAAGTTGATGAATCTAGCTTAAAGTTGATCACACCCGGTCCAGTGATCAAAAGTATTAACAAGCAATGAAAATGAATCCAGGTGACGACACCTATTTACTTCAACAAACCTGACACCATTTTTCAACTGGCAAGCTCAAGCACTCGGCTGTTGATAATCACTTCAGCTGACATAAGTTTCCAGGGGTGATTTTGTTGGTTCAGGCCAACATGTATAATGATTATCAAGTTCCCAATCTACTTTCCTATTTATTGTATCGCTCTACAAAACCATCCATCTAAATGCCATACTGATTACTAGACATGATGCTCTATCATTTCTCTAACAACAGAAAATGGCAAAAACAAACAATTTTGCAGACTCAAAACGCTTTCAACTGTAATCCTGAGAAGGTTCCATCTTTGCAAGCCAATCCATTATGAGTAACAAAGGTATCCAGAGTTCTTAGAGCATTCAAGTAAACCATTCCATGGGCATTTGCATTTCTTCCAGTACCACAATTCACCAATATTAATCTCTCAGGTTGCGGTGCCCAAGAAAAAAGGCTGTGTTGTGATTCAAGCTCATGCTAAGTAGCCTCAAAATGATTTTTATGCTACGAAACCCAAAATTCTGAAGGAAGAGTTCCTTCAGAATTGACTTCGATCCTGTGAAACATGGGACAGCCAATTGGTTCGAATTCCAGATAAAACAAATTAAAACGGAAAACAAATATCCAACCCTCTCTCAGTCTGCAAGCACATGAATTTCTTCTAAATTTCATCTGAACAATGGCAAATTATATCCCGTTTCTTGCTTTAGAATGTCGAAACCCCAAATTATCTTGATCAAGAATCACATATATAGAACTCATAAAAGGATAAGGTTCTCTCATTTCATATACCTTAAAAATATTAAAAAGAACTTTAAATTTAGTAAGAAAAAAAAAGTACCGTTGGAACGAAATCCTCCATCAGTTTTGGTGGTAACCCACTCTCCAGTCTCTCTGAGCTTCTTCCCACTGTTCCCTGCTCCAAGAACTCAGACTTCTTCCTTTTCTTCTCTTGGTCACTTATAACCATAAAAAAAAAGGGTAACACGAAAGGAGAATGCCCATCAATATTTATATATGTATCCTATATAGAAAGGAGAAAGTCAAGAAACAGTACTGTTGAGAAGGGGACATACATGGGCTTCTCATAGTCACGATAACTGCCAGCACCAGCGACGCTTTCAATGTTCTTAAGGTTGAGCTGTTGTTATCGTCTGTTTTGGATTTGTTTTCTTTCTCGGTAACGGTAGAGTAGTGGTGTTTTTGGTTCTGGTACTTGCTGTTGTTGTGGGAACTGGAACTGGAACTGGAAGAGGCTTCGGATCAGTGTTGGATGGTGGAGATGGAGAGTTGGTATTGGTGGGAAGAAAAGCAAACACTCAAAAGTGTTTTGGTCATGGAGTGGCAGGATAAGCAAGCCATGCCCATGCGTTTTTTGTCTCTGGCTGTTTTTCTCGTTTTTCTGTTAGAGATAAACAAAAAATTCTCAATAATTTTTTTAGTTATTTTTAATGTCATGATCATGTCACTTTAACATCTTCAGCTGTGTGTGCATTTAAATCATCTTCTACCTAAAACTTTCTTTATTTGTTTCTCTTACTCTTAATTTTTCTTTTATTTATTTGAACTTCAATAATATGAGATGATTAGTTCTTGTAGGGCTGTGGGCATGTCCATTTCTTTTTTCATTACAGTGGATATATCTTTCCATAAGCGAATATATCTTCTCCGGATAGGAACAAAAAGCTGCAGCACCAGATTTTATGTATAGGTAAGCTGCAAAATTATGGCAGACCAGGCATGACAACGTGTGGAGAGACATTTAAAAATGGGAGTATAAGGTAATCAAGCTACAGCTGTACTACGAATAAAGGCATAAAATCACTAAGGCCCAACAAGAACCACTGAAGAAATCTTATCTTTGTAGATTCATAAATTTCATTAGGTGATTCTCTAAAGGGGTAAAATTTTATCAGCATTCATGTATACATTCATACAACTCTTGGCAACTGTCTCCAGGTAACTACTGACTTCAAGATTTTGTCTAATCATGTAGGTAAATTCCTCAGCAAACGCAAAGCTCGTTTCCATTGTGATCTTTCTGACAGGATAATTCTCCTCAGAGCTGGCACCGCCCCAGCAGCAAGAATTGCAGCATGATTTTCATTATCCATGCTTAGATTATATAGGATACATATGGCTGCTTCGACTGCCTTCTCACTTCCTCCCTCTATTACCTTCACCAATGGAAATATTCCTCCATCAGAAGCAACAGCTCGAGTGGCATCCACCATTCCCTCAGAAATTATCCTGTTGAGTTCTAATACCGCAGTTTCTTGTGCTTCTAGAGAGAAAGAAGATCTCATTTGGTCTATTAGTCTTGGTATCTTCTCGTAAAGGGTAACTTCCATGTTGATTGGATTCTCAAATCCAAGGATGGGAGTAGGACCGTAGAGAGAGCCGAGTTTAACAAGGCAAGCAGCAGTCCAATCTTTGTACTGAAGAGGAATGTTTGATTTCAGGATTTTACGAAGCAACTTGGTGAAAAGGGAGGGGTTTATAGTGCGTCGAAACAGTTCCAAATCAAGAAGCTTAGTGAGTAACCGGGAAGCTGAAGATATAGCAAGACCAACCTCTTCAACTTGAACGGCATGTATTTCTGTCTGCTGACTGTCATCATCAGATTCCAGTTCTGCCAAAAATATAAAAAAACAGAAAAATAATCACATCTGAAACAGTACAATGAATAACAAATTATACTGCAGGCAGCAAAATAAAATAAGAAATGTGATCCATAACAAAGACAATTCATCAATATAGATAAAAATTTCAATTAAACACATTTTTTGTCACTAAAGAAATCAAGTTCGTTTTGGAATCCCCACAGCAGCCAAATTGTTAAGGTTCAGACAAAATTTGGAATGTTTCTCACATTATTTCAAAAAAGAAAGAAAAACAATTGAAGGTTCATACAAGTTCTTCGAATACTTTTACAGTGATAAAAAAAACATTATTTTCAATGTGCCTAAAGCTAGAATTTGTGAAAAGGAGACCATTCACATGCATTTAGTCACTAGTACTTCAGCAAATAGCAGCTAATTGTCAAAATGTTTTTAAAAACCTGCTTTAAAATCACATAGGTTGTAATACAAAAATCAAGAATAAAAGCAGTAGATACGTCAAGAATAAAATTAATTAATAGTCAGTAATACAAAAATCACATAGGTTGTATGGAGTTGCCTGGTGGATAAAAGCAGTAGAACAACAGCAACAGCCAACAACCAAAAGATGTTAAATTCAGTTTTAATATCTTGAAAAGTTTCAATCAAAACAAGTACTAATTTACAAATTTCCAACCATTGTTTAAGCGCAAAAACATATCACAAGATAACTTCATTTTTGATTTTTTTTTTTTTTTAATGTAGAGGCAATCATCTCACATACCGTTTAATTCTATTTGTTGGAAAATAGCAAGCAGACCAGATTCGATATTCGCTGAGATGACTGTGTCCATGCTTGAGTCACTAATTGCTAAAAACTCAAGGACAGAAGCTGTTTTTCTTTGTAGCTTTGGGGATGGGTGCTTTAGCATGTCAACTAGGCGAGCAAAAACATCCAGGTCCAACAAGTCTTGTCTGTGAGATTTGAAGGTCAACACAAGTGTCAGTAAAATGATTTGTCATGCATGTAGTTAATCACATGATAAATCACTACACTGGGTTCAACAAATGCATAAATGGTAAATCATTCACAGAAATCAAAATCCTATTTCAAGATAACTAAAAAAACCTTATTTCCAGATGGCATCCTGACAAAATATCTCTAAGCCTGACCCATTATATAATCTGCCCATTTCTGTTAAATTGCCCTGGACAGATAAGGTGGCCCTGGGTATGGATTATTGAAAGGCATGCTTTTTTTTTTTTTTGTAGGAGCTCCACCAAAGCATAGCTGTCAGGGACCATTATGACCATTATGCTATCAAACACCAATGCACTAAGTCAAGCCTGAGCGGTGTAGCTCAACTGATCAAGTCCTGGGTTTACTCTCTAGAGATCACTAGTTCGAGTTCTACAAACCTCATGGCCACTAACTTCCCATGAAGAATGTCCGTGGATGGAAAAAAATCTTATGACCACTTCAGGTTATAGTTATAAAGAATATTTTAATAACAATCTAGAACTTTTTTCCTTCCCAAGAATATTTTGTCAAGCAAGAAAGACATTAGAGTAAATTTCAAACACAAAAGTTTTCATGTACACCTTATATTGTCCAAAATCACTTGACAATGACTAAAGAGGAAAAGCTTGGATTTTGCATGCTACTTCCACCGAGAAATTTTTATACCAAGACACAAACTTAAATGAGAACAGTTACAACTTTGGGTACTCTGCATCAACAATCAGAGTTCGACACCTGAGTAAAACATTTTGTGTAAAGAGAAGAGAGAAATGAATGGTGAAGAAAAGAAAAATCTGATTTTGGGAAGAGCAAAAAATTTAAAAATAAAATAGAAAGAGGATTACCTGGTATTTGTTTTTGACTTCAGCATTTCATCAACTTTTCTACTTAATCCAGTAGAAGCATCATCACCTCTTGCTGCATCCGATTCCTTTTTAAATCCATTAACCGGTCCATCATAAAACTGCAATGCATTAGAAAACCCGGTAAGCATATGGAGAATTCTAAGCTTTCACAATATGTTGCAAGAAGCAGGCAACTGACCTTCAATTTCATTTCCCTATTAGGGTCTAAGATTCGAGACAGTAAATTCAAGGCCTGCATTACATCATTTTTTACAACCTCATAAGCAATTCATCATGATAAACAACATATTTGATGGCAATATATAAAATTAATATATAACTACCTTTTCCATCATGTTTTCAGACATCTCTGAGTTCTTTAAGATGTTGATCAAGGGAGCCATAACACCTTCAGCTTCAATTGTCTCACAAACTGCATTGCTGAATCAAAAAGATGCATATTAAAAAAATACTAATGAGAAGTGCCATGCATCAAGAATACAGCAACAGCATAGAAGGTATGATATGAAAAGGAGAATAAAATTCAAACATGAAGTTGACGATTCACAAGTCTCTCTCACTCTCTCCAGCAGCTTGAGAGTTACTTCCACCCAAAAGAGAGTTTGATATGACCTCCTAATGCTTTTAGAAGGTAGTTATCCCATAAAAAGCAAGAGTATTGAACACCAGACTAGACTGGATGACTATGTTGTGCAGCCTAAACTGATCCTAATTATAGCTTTGTTTACCAACCTCTGGCATCAAGATGTCTTACCAATTTTCAGTTTGGTCACATAAGTGAAATAGTTGTTTTCATTGTGATTAAAAAGAGCAGAAACCCTAGCATGCGGCAACCTAACCAAGTGATTAGGGCATATCATGGTGTTATCATGTATTAAAGGCTTATAAAGATGGTTCAAAGAATATCTCAACTCTTTGGTTTCTTATGAAACAGCCACTGCCATATTCTCCCTGCCATAGTTTCAGATTCTTCAAATGTGTAAGTTGCCCACAATCCTTCTATTTAGTATACCTAGCACCAGAAATTTAGAACTAATACAACTAGAACATGATGATAATGTCGAATCCAACAAGATATTGACCTTGCCAAATGCAGACACCTTTGACCTCATGAATCATATGGAGTGACCGCATTGCTAGAGAACAAAAGTGTTAGTTTCCAACATTATCTGGGATGCAAAGACAGATTCAAAACAAGAAAGCTAAGAAACAGCACCTGATAGATAACTTCTCCAAAGCACCAACAGCAGCAAGTCTGATAGCATCATTGTTATGGTCCAAGAGCTGAATTAAGTTCTTAACTGCTCCAGCTTCCTTAAATGAATTTCGCAAATGTTCATTGATAGATGCATCAGCAATTGACTCTGCAGCTCTGCAAATGGCTGACTCATCTTCAAGTTCAAGAATTAAAACCAATCTGGCCACCCCATCTATCCATGGCAAAACTGTAAATTGCCTCGTTTTAGATGATCCACTTTGAGACAATTTTGTGTCTTCCACTTCTATAGCCCCTGTACGAGCAAGGAATTGTTGCTTAGATCGTCCAATTATTGCTTTCATCTTAGCTTCCTCAAGTTTTGCATTCTTGTCATCAATATTTAATCCAAGGAGCAATTCCGAAGCACCAAACCTTGAAGGACCTTTAAAAGTATGTTCAATTTTTGAACCATCAGGGAGGCTTGGCCATGAATGCAAAGCTGGAATAAAGGACCTATATGCAGCTGCACCGATTAATGGCACAGGAACTAGACCTTCCTCCATGACAAGGATTCTATAGTATTGATTCTTACAAAGTTCCACCAGAGCATTTCTAGCTTCCTTCCTAATGACCTTGGATTCTTCATCAACCGCAGATTTTAAGAAATTCGCCTGCAGTCAATATCATAGGAGATTAGTCTTCTTAGAATACTTAAAGCAAACATCAAATGAAGCCCTTTTAAGAGTGGAAGAGCTCCATAAAAGACTTTATATTACAG